CAGAGAGCCGCTCCATCAGCAGGGAGGTGAACCCAGAGCCAGTGCCCCCGCCAAAGCTGTGGAAAACCAAGAAGCCCTGGAGACCCGTGCACTGGTCAGCCAGCTTGCGAATCCTGTCCAAGACAAGGTCAATGATCTCCTTGCCAATGGTGTAGTGGCCACGGGCATAGTTATTGGCAGCATCCTCCTTGCCTGTGATGAGCTGCTCAGGGTGGAAGAGCTGGCGGTAGGTGCCAGTGCGAACTTCATCGATAACTGTGAGTTCCAGGTCTACAAACACTGCCCGGGGCACGTGCTTGCCAGCCCCTGTCTCACTGAAGAAGGTGTTGAAGGAGTCATCTCCTCCCCCAATGGTCTTGTCACTTGGCATCTGGCCATCGGGCTGGATGCCATGTTCCAGGCAGTAGAGCTCCCAGCAGGCATTGCCGATCTGGACACCAGCCTGGCCAACGTGGATGGAGATGCACTCACGCATATTTAATCCTTGAAGTGGTCCGCAAAAACTGAGGGAGTGAAGAGAGGGTGACGAAGATCTCCCACTTGTAGACTACCAAGGAGTCCGGGGGAGAGGCTGTCAAAAACATACAATCTTAATGTAAGAAAATATAAAATAGTCTATTTAAAAAATAAAGTAAAATGTTATCATTTTGATTTATTCAATTTTTATTAATCTCATATATGAGAAATACAATCTAGCTATGAATTCTGTAGAGATTTTGACTTTTACAGTACATAGAAATATTTTAATATTTATTTATATTTTCTGTTTGTTAGTTAAAGAATATAATCAAAGGAAATAAAGAATATATAAGAATATAATTTAGAGGTGGGAGGAGCTTCAGGGATCAAAGTATAACCTGTTCATTATCCATATGAACAATTCTTATCTTCAGCAAAGATTTAATTAAGCATTTGAATTTTTACTGATAGACTTGAATTGTGAAAAGAAAAGTCGGACAGGGCAGGATGAAAAATTAAGAAAACAATAAAATTCACAAAACTTACAATCTTCATGTGAAACAGGAGATGATAAACTAGAACCATTGCCCCTATTCAACATGTAACCTGTTTTTGAATAGCCCTCAAGCTAAGGATGGCTTTTTAATTTCTATAGTCACTAGAAAAAAACCAAGACTACGACATTCGGTGCATAAAACGTACAATATTTATTATCTGGCCTTTTCCAGGAAACATTTGCTAATACATTATTAAAACACTGAGACCACACACATAGGACAACTAAGAAAAACCAAAGTGACCTTCAGAACAATCCCATGGTTACTGGATTTTTTGAGAAGCTGTTTTCATTGCAGTTCACTATATCCAAAGCTATGACCACAGATAAGGCAGGAAGAGAGTTTTTATCAGAAACCACAAGGATCATACTCTTGGGAAAAGAATGTAATGTTCAAAATAGGCCTAAGGGTCTAAAAAGAAATTACAGACTCTTTGTTCTCTTTCCCTCCTGTAGTTTTCAGTTTCACATATTGAAGACTTGCAAGTTTCTACTGTGTTTCATTCCCCATTCTGTGTCTCTGAAGAAACTGTTATTATTTTGAACCATAGGAAATTGTCAATATTCAACCAGTTTTGATTCAAAAAATGACAGTGCCTTCTGGTTTCACTCAATAGCTTTCTAGTTACTTTTTCTTTGTACATGGATGCCTCTCATTGTTTGGATGTGCTTCTCCTTATTGCAGTTTTTGAAAAATAAATTTACCCAGTTCTTTCTTTTATGAGAACTTTTGGTAGAATATAGGCTTGCCTTCCAACTTTAGAGAATTATTTAAGTTTCTAGGATCTTTGTTGACTGCAACTACTTTGAATGCCCCCTACTACCTGTAGGTATGTAACAAGAATACTAATTGAGTTTTCCATTAAACAAATGATCTAATGATATTTATTATTGGATTTGTCTCATCAGGTATTATGAAAATGTATATCCCATTTAATATTCATAAAAGTTTTCAAAACTTCATATGCTTACTAGTAGGTAAAATCATAAAGGGGCTGTTTAGGCACTATAGCATCCAATATAATGCATCTACAATTGTATATGCCATAGATTAACTGTTTTTTTGTTTTGTTTTGTTTTTCAAGACAGGGTTTCTCTCTGTAAACCAGTCTGGCCTCGAACTCAGAAATTATCCTGTCTCTGCCTCCCAAGTGCTGGGATTAAAGGTGTGCACCACCACTGCCCAGCTGCCATATAGTAACTTAACTGAACTGCTTTTTATTTAAACTGGTATCTAGCTAAGCTTGCAGAAATGTAGCTTACTGTGAAGAAATATAAGCATTTAAAGCTAAAGATGTTCTTCCTTTGCCTGTATTTTAAGCATCAGGATGCAGTAGTACAGAAAATAAAAGGTCAGTAAGTACAATTTTTTTTCTTAAAGAAATAGATTTGTGAATGTAGTTATTGATTATGTCAATATAATTTAAAAGAGCAATGAAGAAAATAGACTTCAAAAGCAACAGTGTTGAGGAAGATATTTTCATTTACGGGAATGGTGTAGGACATTCAGTATGCAATGGAATCAGTCTGAATTTTTATTCAAATTTATTTTTTTAATCAATGATGTGTACCTTGGGGCAGGTTATTTGGTCGCTGTGTATCTCTATGAAAGTAGATATATATATTTTGGGAAAATAGCAGAAAACTAAAGTAATTTCTAACACACATGAGGCCCTGGTTTTGATTTGCAAAGCCACAAATAAGTGGAGCATCACCTAATTCAGAGATTTTTAGTAAAGATAAAATAGCATTATATTAATATAAGCAGTAAAACATTGGAGAACTAAGAATAATTATAAATTAGCATTTATTATAATGATTTTGATGAAAATTTTTCAAATTGACAAAATTTGGAGTTACTCTAAAATGATGTCACTTAGATGGTAGGAAAACATAAGCTTTTTCAAATTAACTCAAATGATGCACACAACGTAAGCTTCAAGTATGCCATAGTGCATCGAGTAATTAATAGAAGTTTAAAGAGGATATAAGTACCCTTGCATTACCTTTAACTATTTACTTATTGTTTCTATACATGCCTCTTGAATATGTATAGCCTTCAAGATACTATAGTAACATCAAGACGAACTTGATATGAAAAGAAAAGCTATATCTTTAATATTACCGTGATGTAGTGGTCTGTGAATTATAAATTCTTGGCTGGAATACTGACCAAAACCATAAAAAATAGGAGTTTCTCTGATGAAGCGTGAAACAAGTATATGTACACACATACACACACACACACACACACACACACACACACACATACACATACATATATATTCAGCATACTATTCTCCATCACCCACCTCTACTGCCCATCAGCATCTGTATTGACACTCAGTTTCTCTGTTTTTATTTTTTTATGTGTTTCAATGCTTTGCTTGAATGTATGCCTATATACCAAAAGTGACTAGTACCTGTGGAGGTCAGAAGAAAGAATCAAATGCAGTGAAACTGGAAGCACAGTCAGTTGTGAAAGACCATATCGGTGCTAGGAATGAAACCCACATCCTCTGGAATAGTAGCCAGTCTGATACAAAGATGGTTTTCATAAAACACTATTTTACAGTTCCTTATAAATCTGTTTTTTACAGGTATCACATTTAAATATATATGTATAAATAAATAAGTAATTGAATTTTCTATTTTCAATTCTTCTACCAGTAATTTTGGTTAATAACTACCCTAGAAAGGAACCATAAAGTAATATAGAATCTTGATTAGGAGAGAAAAGCCTAAAGGTGAGCAAAAAAATAAAATGGCAAAATCTAAGATAATAGCCCTGGATCAGCTTCAATATGTCAAACCAGAAAAGCTCAGAGAAGAATGGATGTACTAGAAAAGAACAAAAGACAAATAAAACCGGGAAAAGTATCTCAAAACTAATTTTCCATTGCATGTCTTTTGGTGAAAGGAAATTTGCTTTTCCAGTATATGGCATTTAGAAATGGTATTACAAAAAATGGTACAAGTTGAATCTTACATTTGGCTCATTTAGTAAAACAAAAATATAACTAAAGAAATGTAAAGAAACAAATAGATCTGAGAAGTCAGTCACTCCAAGGCAGGAGTGACAGTGACATGGCTACATGCAAGGATGAGTAGCCACCAATAGGAGGCTCTCTTCTTAACACTTAAAGTGTTCTAATTTTTGGCACTGAAGTCTTAGAAAGCATTTATATCACAGAAAATATAGCATCTATTGTAGGAATAATGTATACATTTGACAAAGATAATAATTATCTCCCCTGAAGCTTAGTAGGCAGAGTTCCTACGTATCAAACTAATGCAAAGAAATATTATACTGTTATATCAAGTAGAATCAGATAAAGACAGATCTATTATCTTTTCTCCAACATGCTCAACTTATATTCCCAACACAGCTTATCCACAAACTGACAAATGGAAGGTTGTCTTGCCTCTAAGCCTTGTATATACTTTCTGAAAGAGTGTTTTTTCTATTATTTATTACTAATGCATGATCATTTCGCAAATCTCATGTTAGGTATTACTTTTAACAGTGAGAACAATAACAGAAGTAAGAAGATTGTGTCATTAGCTTCACATAAATTCTTGTGGCTCCATGTCCCTGCTGGACTGCACTGTGCTTCTTATGTGCCTCCCATTTAAGGTCTTAATGTTGTACCACATCCTAATACACATTTTTTTATCTTATTATGGTTGTTAGCACACACTAGAGTAGAGATCCAGGGATAACAAATGTATTTTTATCATCAGTATATCCCAAGAAGACAGAAAGAAAAATGCACTTAAATAAATTAGGTGGAACCAAGATAAATGGGATGAAAGAGTAAATATAGATGGTTGTTATATGCTGCACGCCTAGATACTCATTTGCAATTTATTTGAGTGGTACTATAACAAATCACCAAAATAATTCCCTACTTATTTAGGGAATCTAAACTTAGACTGCTATGATCCACATTTCCAGATGGCTTGTAGATTCCATCCAGGATTTCAATAGGACACTTACAGGTATGATATTGTACACTGGTTAAAAGCCTCTACTTTCACTTTCCTAGAGAATAAGATGTACTGAGCAGTGGTACATATAAAAGATCATTCTAGGGGTGAGTTATTGAATTTCAGTTTTGTAGTAGCTGTAGTATAACTTAAACAAATGAGAAAGTGGATTTTAAGTTTTCTTTAAATTAACTTTAGCACAACTTGTCACATTAGCTAGCAAAAACTCTATTGTACGAAACAGATCACGAAGTGATAAACAACTTCAAAGAAAAGAAAATGAAACTAGAAATGCAGAAAGAAGGGCAAGTCTCAGTCTATTGTCATGTTACACACCAGTTCACATTCAGGGACTAATTGAATTAGGTAATACGTGGCAACAATAAAATCAGAAAATAATTTAAATTGTGGTTCTTACAGAAGGTATATCTTATATGTTGGTATTTTATATTGTGATCCTAAATGGACATGATTAATATTTCAACATCTTTGTATTTAAAGTGCCTTTAAAAATGGGCACATTTAGAAAAAAATCTATGTATCTT